TACCCAGCTGGTAGTGTGGATTTTATGTGGCTTCTTACTCAAACACTTGGTGGAAGAGCTCTGTCTTCAAGGCCCTGAGGAACTGTGATAAATCCAGCGGGGCACTAATGTCCTCAGGGAGCTCGTTCCACCAAAGTGGCGCTGCCACCAGGAAGGCTCTGGCCCTGGTTGTGGCCAGCCTGACTTCTTTGAGATCAGGGAGAGAAAGAAGGTTTTGAGATCCTGACTGCAGTACTCTCGGCGGAACATACTCTGGGGAACAGTTAGCATATATTTCAGTTTTCATTTTTTAAAAAACCAATATAAGTTTAAGCCCAAATATCTATGAAATATACAAATCTACATTAGGTTTCCTCAAGGAGTAATGTAAAGCCACCAAGTATGATTTCCTCCGATTCAAAAAAATTTTTTTGATGCTGCATCAAGAAGAAGAGAGAAGAGATTGGATTTATACCCCGCCCTTCACTACCCAAAGGTATCTCAGAGCGGCTTACAAACTCCTTTCCCTTCCCCTCCCCACAACAGACACCCTGCGAGGTAGGTGGGGCTGAGAGAGCTCTGACAAAAACTGCTCTTTTTCAAGGACAGCTCTTATCAGAACTATGGCTTGCCCAAGGTCATCCAGCAGGTGCAAGTGGAGGAGTGGGGAATCAAACCCGGTTCTCCCAGATTAGAGTCTTCGCATTTAACCACTACACCAAACTGGCTCTCAAATTTGCTCTGAGAGATCTCCTCATTTTCGAAGAACTGTTCACCATGCAGCATGGGGAAATGCCATCAGCTAAGTTCTCTTGGACACGTGGAACATGCTGAATGGCTCTTTATGCTTGCTGTCATGAGCCCAACTGTACCAATGATGCCTAATGAAATAGCAGAAAAGGGTCTGGGTGTGCCGAGCAGGACTTTGACTTGTTAAGCATCCAGACCCTTTGCAATCTGGGTAATTTCTACAGGTTCCTTACATTTGACTCTTGTGTAGAACTTTAAAGATGCCTCTGAATACAATCATTTGCCTTAGTGATAATATGAACACTGTTCAACAGAAGCACAGTATGTTACAGCCACTAGTTACAAGTTTGTAACACGGTCTAGCAAGATTTTGGAGAAAGGGATATGGGCACCAGTCCCTTTTGTCACTTGCCTTTGAATTACAGTCTGACAAATATACTTGTAAAACTATTTCTGTATGGACTGCATAATCAGGAGAAGCAGCATATATGCTGAGTATGCAGTCTTCAAATCGTTTGCTTTGAAATTGTCCTACTGACTTTACTGGGATAACTCCAGATCTGTAGTGCTAAAGCATTTCAGGCAACTGTAGCTCTTGTGATAAAGCATTTTTAAAAAACTTTTGTGGTCACATTGCCAACTACAAAAAAACAAACAAAAAAGCCTCAACTCTCAATTGCTGACATCTTGAGGGAACCGTTAGTACAAAAGAGCATCTTCATGTACACTAAAAAATCATTTGATTGAGCTGCATCTTGCTTACAGGAACAACAGGCCAAAACATGCAGAACTGACATCTATATGCTGAAACCAGCACCCTTGTGGTTTATGCACAGTCACACATTTATTCTCCAGCTAAAGACCAAAAACTGACTTTCAGGGAAGGATAGAACTGTATTTCAGAAATGGGCTGACTATTTTGTTTTTTACAAAGAGGCCTTGTACTAGTAAACTTAAAGAGACAGATCAGTGTTACCAACAACTGGCTGTTGTTATAAGTTAAGCCTGTGATACTCATTCAGTGCTTGGAAGCCTCATGCAGCTTTTTGGCATGCCACCTGTGGCTCAACTGAGCACTGTTCTCAAATGTGACACCTGTCCTATGTTCCAGGTAAGAGGGCAAGGCCACTGCCCGGCAGATTTGTGGTTGGCAGATGGTTCTCACCTTGAAACAGCCACTGTTGGAGGGACTGGGAGGATGGGTAAGCGATGAGCCTCCCTGAGATGTGAGCCTCATGCGCTGGTTTTGACCTTTAAAGCCCCAAATGATCTGGGGCCTGCTTACCTGCTTAGCCTCATACCAGGGATGAATGGTAAAGGGCCTATCCTCTCCAACATTCCTCCTCCGCAGCCTCTGTACCCTCTCCCAACACCTGGACAGGGCCTAGGAGCAGAACAAGTTGGCTGCAGACAAGGAAGAATAAAACCACAACCACGGCAGCCACCTGGGAAAAAAGCAAGAGGGCCACAGTGGGATGGGGTGGTGGCTTCACTCCACTTTCTCAATAGCCAAAACTCGCCCTCCTATGGGCACCTTGAAGGTCCCATTCTCATGCTGAGGAGAGAATGGGAAGGCACTTCAAGAAGCCCTTCCTCTTCCTCTCACTCCAGATACACGAGGACTGAATGAGGTTCAGTGGTGCTGGGGAGAGATAACCCTACATGTGCAGAGGTAACTCTGGTAATTAAAAAAGTTATCAGTACATATTATATTATTGTATGCCTGTATCCTTTATAAAGTTTATATCTCCAGTACCTGGCATTACATTTTACGGCACACATGACCTGGCCCAACAAAGTGACATTTATGTCAGATCCGGTCCTTGTAACAAATTAGTTTGACACCTCTGATCTAGGGCATTAGATAATGATTATTCCTATGTGTACTGCAGACATATCCAACATATTTTCAAGGCTATGTTTACTGTATAAATGTAAATAATTTTGGCAACAATAAATAAACTATGTTTGATAAAATGAAAGTTCAGTATTTCTGACATTATGAAGTTCAACCTAGTATCACTATATGCTGGTAGTCCTCCTGTGACTTTATAAGACTATTTCTATTCAAATAACATATTTTCTTGTATTTACTACAAAACACATTTCCTGATTTGAACTCCCCACCACCACCTCTCAGGAAGCAAAAATTAAGTTTGTCAGTTAAGCTGTTCAGTTCTGAAGGAGAGAAGCAGAAGTTCAGTTAAGTTCTGTCTCTGAGGGAAGGAGACTTATCCCTGTGAAGCAATCTTGTGTGATATAAGAGTCTGAGTTAAATATTTGTGTGTGAAAGGAGAGACATTCAGTTCTGTGTTATAGGAGTTACAATTGAAAGCTGAGAGTCTAGGAAAAAGTACAGTGAAAAGTGTTACAAAGTTGCTTGAAACCTCCCTGTCAGTAAAGGAGAAGCTTGAGAGAGACACCAAGCATTTGTTCAAATCATTCCCAGTACTGTTTACATTGTTTACCCTCGTATTTATGCTTTCTTTAAATAAATCCTATTTCCTTCAAGTATACCAGCTCAGTAAAGAATCCTTCCTCAGACCACATAGTTCCTCAAAAGCTTAAACCCTCGATTCACCTACCCTGTTATTGAAATAGTAAAGCATAAAGGTTTGGAAAGCCTTATAAATTTCCTGGTGGCAGCCGGATATACAGAGTAAAACAAACCAGAAAGAACATTTTTAAAGTAAAACCAGACCTCTCCAGTTAAGGGGTCGTCACACATGTGCTAAAGCAGCGCAGGATGCAGCAGCCTGCAATTTTGCTTGTATGGCATAAATTCTATTAATATGCCAGTGATATATGCCAACCACATTATAAAAGATGCTTTTGATGCTGCTAAAGCAATATAATAAGTTTATACAATAAGTTCTGACAGGAAAGTATTACATATTGCATATACATATTACAATTCCCCCCCAAATTTCAGTATTGTCCCCAAACTCCAGAAAACAGTATTTGTCAATGGCTTCACAACTTCTGGAAATTTTACATCTCTGTTCTCACTTCCATGCTATCTATGATGAGACCAGGAACAGGTTATGGACTTCCATTATTTCTACCTACCCTTTTTCACTAATAGGCACAGAAGACAGTGACTGAAGCAGAACACCACACATCTATTTGATTAAGCGGATCCCACATTCAAATAAATGCAGGACAGAGAGTGCATTGGGAAAACTATGCCATGTGGGATACACCCACTGCTCTATGCCCTGCAGAATTGGGCAGCATGGTGTGCTGTTGATTTCCACCTCTCTACCAATATATGCACAGTGACATCAACCTGAGGGAAGGCTTAAGGATGAGCCCAGTTACTTGATTTCCACCTCTCTACCAATATATGCGCAGTGACATCAACCTGAGGGAAGGATGAGCCCAGTTGCTCGGTGTAATGCACACCATAGCTGATGTGTATGAAGAAATGCTAAATACATCGTTGCTGCCACCCCGCCATCCCAAATACAGGTCTATTTCCTTAACTCTGAATGACTGGTCAAGTGATAGGGAAGGACACTGGAAAACAGCATTTAATGGGATATCATCAAACCTGTCTATAACTGAGAAAATGCTTATCTCTGAACTTAGGGTGCCTCTAATTTCAATCCACAAAACCCATGGTCCAGATATCAAAACAATTTTGAAAAGTGGTGCCTTAGATAACCCTTGCAGGCAGATACAAATGAAAAACCAGATCAAGACAGACACTTGGAACAGTCTGAGCTAGTAATACTTTCATGCCTCTAAGCCCCTCTAAAATAAGCTCCTTACTTCATCAAATTCTATATATGCAATGTTGTGTATTTCACTGATCACATCATTAACTGTGCTTGTATTCAATTTCTGCAGGTATGAGCGTACATTTTATTACAGATCAAACACCTACGAAACTTTGAACCTTCCCAAAAGGTATTTCCAAGGTAAGTCACTTGCATGTCCAAAGCCAGCTTTAAAAATAAATAAATAAATTACCAGGAGGTTTGATCTTACTAGCGCTAGGCACCCATGGCCCTGATGAAAACAGAAAAAGGCCTTTGAAATGCAGCTTTGGTCAAGGACATGAGAATAGAATTTCACTTTCTTATCCCCAACTTTAACTAGTCACATTGTCCACTTCATTAAATGTGTAAGGAAAAACTGCCAAGCCAACAAACAGAGCAAACTGGAGAAGTGGACCGCTTATTAAATACTTTTACCACCACCTCTCCTAGTTGCCATTAATAAAATAGCTTTGTGAGTGCTTAATCCGATAATCGCAATGTACTTACGATCTGTCGGATATTCTATTTGCGATGGCTGAACAGCTGTTCCCTCCGTTGACTGAGAGGCGGCCAAGTTATTATCAGCTTGAGCCTTGCGAACAAGCACAGCCAGCGGGTGATCAGGATCTACCACCTTTAAAGGCTAAGGGGGCAAAAAAAAATGAGATTTTCAGAACCGATTTCTCATGGCTTTTGAGTTCTTCACATCAAATTATTTACAACCTCTGCAATCAAAAATGACACAGGACCATTTAACTTTATACGGTTGCCACTGACTTCAGAGACTGTGAATCAGAAAACAATCTGCAAGATAGACTGTGTGTCTACGTTAACACATAATTATTTAAAATTTTAATCCATGCAGCCCACCCCACGAGGCATGAGTCAAGTTTATTTAACAAACAGGAAGGTTGTAAACTGAGTCCCTGACTGGACACAGATTTGCACTGAGCCAGTGTGGTGCAGTGGCGAAAAGTGTCAACCTGGGATTAGGGAGACTCAGGTTCAAATCCTCACTAGGCCATGAAGGTCACTATGTGACCTTGGCAAACTTGGAAGAGGAATACAAATGTAATAGGTGGATCCCAGAAATAGCCTAATTGTGGAATTAATCCCTTTTCTAGTATCTTCAGTCTCCTATATTGCAACAAAACATCAAAGATTAAGCTATATCACCTTCAAGTTTACCGGGGTATGAGTTTCAAATGCCATTTGTGAGATGGCATTAGCATTTGCCATTCAAAAGAAAAAAACAAGTCTAAAAAAATCCCACTGGCATGCACGCGTCTACAGCAGCTCAGTATCACAGCAACTGAGACACTCTGCCAAGAACACTGAGGATTGGCGCTGGACACACCTCTGACAGACAGTTTTGTGTGACTAAATACCTTCATAAGCTCCTCAAGTCGGCTGTGAGTTTTAGATGCAAAGAGGCTTGGATGTAGGTAGTTATCTCCATCATCGTCATCATCATCATCATCTTGATCAGCAGCATCTTGCGCTCCTGTTTCAGAATGACAGATTACTTCTCAACTTTTTGGAGTGTCTGGAATGGGAGTTAGATGTGCTGTGGCACTGTAGAAACTAACAAAATTTATTCCAGCATGGGCTTCTGTGAGTCAGAACTCAACTTCCTCAGATAAATGATGCACATGTCCACAGCAGCTTGAAACAATAGCCAATCAAAGAGAAATCAATGTATTCAGACGAGAGGAGCACCACTTCCAACTGTTGATAGATGGGCAGAATAGGAGTAGCATAGTCTGCCAACAGGTGGGAATGGGCCTCACCCACTCTGAATGGACTGATTTCCCTCTGATTGGTTATTGTTTTAAACTGGCCTCTCTTTGTAACGTCTCCCCATTCATGTCTTTCTGTTCCTTGTTGTTGTTGTTCAGTCGCACAGTCGAGTCCGACTCTTCGCGACCCAATGGACAAGATCACGCCAGGCCCTCCTGTCTTCCGCCGTCCTCTGAAGTTGGCTCAATTTCATGTTCGTTGCATCTATGACGTCCTCTGAAGTTGGCTCAATTTCATGTTCGTTGCATCTATGACACTAACCATCTCATCCTTTGCCGTCCCTGTCTTCTTTGACCTTCAATCTTTCCCAGCATCAGGGTCTTCTCCAGTGAGTGCTCCCTTCTCATTTGGTGGCCAAAGTATTTGAGCTTCAGTTTCATTATCTGGCCTTCCAGGGAACAGTCAGGGTGGATTTCTTTTAGGATTGACTGATTTGATCTTCTTGCAGTCCAAGGGACTCTCAAGAGTCTTCTCCAGCACCATAGTTCAAAAGAATCTATTCTTCGGTGCTTGGCCTTCTCTCGCAGCCATACATGACTACTGGAAATACCATTGCTTTGACAATACGGACTTTTGTTGGCAGGGTGATGTCTCTACTTTTTATCATGCTAATATAAAAATACGTGCTATGGATATACACTTGATGCACCTGATGGAGTGAGCTCCAACTCACAGATTATGCTGTAACAGACATTGCCAGAGGATACAGTGATGGTTACAGGAATAAATAGCTTTAAAAAGGAATTAGACAGATTCATGGAGAAGTCTATCAATGGCTACCAGCCATGGTGACTGAGAGGAACCTCCACATTCAGAGGCACTACTCCTCACAATCCCAGAGCCAGGAGGCAACATCAGCGGAAGACCTCAGCCTCTATGGCTTGTTGTTGGCCCTCCAGCGGACTTGGTTGGCCACTGTGTGAGACAGGATGCTAGACTAGATGGAATACGTGGATCTTGATCCAGCAGGGATCAAGGTTTTGAAATACCACTAGACTTCTGTTTAATTTTGTGGCAACAGACTACCCTTCTGGGAAGAGAATGGCTTCCTGATTTCTTTGAACTTCAAACAAATCCATTATTGGCTGTGGATTCTTACACCCATTTCTGGAACTTTTCAGTTCATGCTGCACAGAAACGAAAGACTTAAAAAGAAGCTTAAATGTAAACAAAATGAAACAAAAACAGCCATTCAGCATTCTGGAGCGTGCTATAAATTAACTCTACATTCAAACAAATTTGACTTTTTTAACACACATACACACACACATTAAAAAAAGCTCAACAAAATATATGATATTGCTGTAGTTGATTTAGGGATTAGTAAAAGTGAACCATATAAAAATGAAAAATTCATTACTTTATCCTATCCAATGATTACTCCAACTACAGTGGAACGAGCTGACGATGATCCATTTTTAGCAGGTAGATTCAGGTGGGAAGCTATGTTGGTCAGAAGCAACAGAACGAAGTTTGAGACTAGTGGCACCTTGAAGAACCAACAAAGTTTAATTCTGGGTCTAAGCTTTTGTGTTGCATGATACTGAAGAAGTGTGCACGCACATGAAAGCTTATACCCAAAATTAAACTTTGTTGGTCTTCAAGGTGTCACTGGACTCAAACTTTGTTCCATTTTAGCAGGGACACTGAGAACTGAAAGACAAAAAAGTATACCTGTTGATTCCAATTAAGATCAGTCTTGGAGTGCATAGCACAGTTCATGGCTGGTTAGAATTACTATCACCACCAGCATTATTTATTTATGTATTTGATTTTTTGGATTTGTATCCTGCCCTCCCCTTTGCGGGTTCAGGGCGGGTTCCAACAATATAAATATAATACAACAATATCAACACAATACAATTAAAACCATGTTAAAACATAAAACATACAACTCTTATAAAAGCCAGTTGCCTCAGTGGTAGATAGTACTGGGAATGAATTTCTCAGAGATCTGTACAGTTTAGGATCTCAGACCCAGGTTATAAAATAGGGGCTGACCCAAGGAGAGAGTTACTTCATTTACCCCCGCCCTTCTCTCCAATGGAGACTCTCCAATGGAGACCAATGTCAAGACAGTGTGTGACTGCAATAAAGAAGGCCAATGCTATGCTGGGGATTATTAGGAAGGGTAAATGGGAGACAACTAAAAAGCAGGGGGGTTACCTGGAAGTTTTATTCCCCTTTCCTACTACTGCCATGCCCCAAGATGCAGAAATGGGAGACAACTAAAAAGCAGGGGGGGTTACCTGGAAGCAGGGGGTGGACTAGAGCAGCACAAAAGAGATCTAGAAGAAGAGGTATGGCAATAATGTTGATTTCCCAGACAGAATGTCAACCTAGTACCAATAGAACAAAGTTTTTCCAGTGGCACCTTTAAGAGCAACAAAGCTTAATTCTGGGTATAAGCTTCCGTGTGCATGCCCACTTCTTCAGATATCTATATGTATGTGAAGAAGTGTGCATGCACACAAAAGCTTATACCCAGAATTAAACTTTATTGGTCTTAAGGGTGCCATTGGACCCAAACTTTGTTCTATTGCTTCAGACTAACACGGCTACCCACCTGAATCTCATTTCAAGCAACTGGAAGCCTAACTAGCACCTTGCTTCGTATCAGGAACCTACGGAGCTACTGCAGTCGCATTCATCCTTTTTTAAAAACATCATTTGGAAATTAAAAGCAAATAGGAATAACAAAACTTGTTTCTACCATTTTAAATGGCAAACAGGTTTCCTCGAGCTGCATATTTGTTTTCTATTACATTGAGCTGAAATTCTCAGATACTGTACACCGTGTTCAAACACAATTTTAGAGCAATAAAAGCTGAAGCACATCCTTATGTGCGCTATTGGCTGGAGGGAGAGTGGAAGAGGAGAAAACTAGTCTCAGATGAAAGAGGCCCTCAGCTCATCCACCCAGCTCAATTCCTTTCCCCCTTTAAGATGCAAGCAGGAAAGCCCATTCCGACTTGCAAGGGCAAATGGATGGACAAATGGACTACACTGTTTTCATTAGTGTGCAGAATTGAATGCAGATGCCCCTAAAAATAATGTAATGAAGACAGATAGCATCTGTACACGAATGAACAGTGTGAGTACCCAACTGATGCTGCCAACAGAAACTACAGACTTCTGCTACAAAATAATGCATAATATTCATTTTATATACCAGCTTTTCTTATGGAAAGTTCTTCACGTGTACTATGTACTAGATCGTTTTAGGAACATGAAAGTCAATGTCAAGCTGCAGAATACTCTCAAAGTCTGAATTAGAAAACAGCTCTCTCAACTGTCAGATTCTGAAGACAGAAACATACAAGTTAGTAGATGCCACACATCAAATTTCACTAAAAATAGTTACGCACTCTTCTCCTCCTCTTTTTTCTTTTCCGATGCTGCCGCGTATCGTCCCTCCTTCATGGCTTTCTGAATAAATTTGTAGTAAGGGTTGAGGTAGTGGTCAAACCGCAGAAAGTCAAACTGAGAGTTCCGAGCCTGCTTTGCTTTCAGCATGATCTCAAACTGGGCTCCCTGCTTGCAGACGAAACTAGCCGTCCGTTCTATAATCGCATGCATTTTGGCAGTTGGCGGCTGGGGGACAGAGCAAAAATGTTTGTATACATTTTGTTAATTTTTTCTACTGTTGCAAGTTCACTCTGCTCTAGGAAAGGAAGCATCTACACTTGTGAGGGTCTCTCAGTAACAGGCAAAAAACCAGAAAGTGCTACTATAAAGTCTGCAGCAAGCACAAATACCCACTTAACAGACATACAACAACAAAGTACTCCAAAACAACTTATTGAGGTTTGCAGGCTCTGGACAGGCAACAAGGATTCCAGTAGTCATTCAGAGCTGGTGACTCACCAAGCCGGACAAGCCCTTTTCAGGTCACAGTCCATAGTCGGTGGGTGACAAATTGTGCAGGCCCAATTTAGAAAATATTTCTAGTTCATGACTGCAGACCTATAGCTTTGGAAACCTATTAAGCTACAAACACCACAGGCTCAAGGAGATTAAATAGCTTGCATTCATCACATTTTTCAAATCCATTTTACGATTTAAAGCATTCAGGCATGTTTTTTCCCCAACAACGATGCCGGGCTGTGGTTCTTTTCCAATAAAGGAACAGCTATTATCTAGCAGCACCTGATAAGGCTTCTACGTTTATTCACTTCTACTGAGCTGAATTTATGAAGAAAATCCATTTTCACAGCATACCTCCTTTTTTTGCGGATGCCGCACATGGAGGCCAACAATTGTAAAACATACTGCATACACAACATTTGGTCCTCTTTGGAACAATGCAAAAAAGAACTCAGCCATGCTCCTGCCTGCTACAGCTGACAATGACAAACCTGGCTTTCTCAAAACCAAAGTGCCTTGAGTATCATCGTTTAGCTTTGCAGAAATATGCAGCTCACAGCTTTTGTTTAATTTTCTACTTCGCTGGCTCCGGTTTCCTTAATTGCACCAAACACATTTTCATAATAATTATTTTTTTTTAACTTAGTGGATCTAAAAGACTCATTGCTACTGAAACAAGCTAGTGAAATGAGCCTGTTGCATCAATTTTCCTACATGTAGCTGACAGATTTGGTATCCATAAATTCATAGGTTGTTTGTGTAACAGCTCAGCATCTTGCCAATTGTGTGGTTATTTTAAAGAGCAACTGGGGAACAATATTAAAGCAAAAACAAGATTATTGACTCCATGCACTACAAACAAAGAAATCTGACTCAAGGACGTTGTAGCAGTTGGAAATATCTTAAGATCATTTTGTGATGTATCTTCCCCTTTCGTGACAAGATTAAGAGAAAAATACTACCGTAAATAATCTTGATGCTGACAGAAAGCTATTACAGGAGGCCTTACATGGCTACCTATGATTGCTGGTACCACTGATGTGTCAGATGAAGAATGATTTTTTTAAAATGCTTTCAGTTATACCTATGAATATGGTAATAGCACAAAGCCAAAGCCCACATACCAAAAACTGTGGAAGTCAGGACAGAAAGCTACAACAGTTTCCTGCGGCATTGCTTCACTGAGCACTGGAAGCTTGAGCAATGAATGCAAGTTCTCCCATAGAAAAGAATATACCTTCACAAGTGCAGGGCATTAGGATGCCCTAATCAATCATCTGAAGTTCAGTACATGTAGGCCCAAATGGCAAGATGGTTTCCTGAGTTTTAAATGACTGAATGAACACACAATCCAGGCCTGCCTGTGAGTGCTGGACTTTATGCATGCAGGTCCCTGCACAAACATTACCTCCAATATGTGGATGGGCTCAGAGGAGGCGCAAGCGCAACCAACAGGATAAATGATAATGTATTTATGTATCATAGAACCAGTTTGGTGTAGTGGTTACGTGCGCGGACTCTAATCTGGGAGAACCTAGTTTGATTCCCCACTCCTCCACTTGCACCTCCTGGATGACCTTGGGCAAGCCATAGTTCTGATAAGAGCTGTTCTTGGGAAAAGAGCCGTTTCTGTCAGAGCTCTCTCAGCCCCACTGACCTCACAGGGGGTCTGTTGTGGGGAGGGGAAGGGAAAGGAGTCTGTAAGCCACTCTGAGACACCTTTGGGTAGTAAAGGGCGGGGTATAAATCCAATGGCTTTTTTTTCTATTTCCACATTTTGTCTACACCCCCCTACACAAGATGTTAACCCAAACTGTGCCACTGACATGATTTCATTGCTCAAGCCCGAGTATTCTCAGGAAATTAACCCATTTTTAATATAACACTAACAATCCCCATAGCAACAAATGTTTCAAAGGTATTGTTTCCAACATTAAACAGAATATGAACATTAAATTATCTGCCGAACACAAAAACAGAGGACACCAGAACAGAGGCATTCAGTTAAATGGTGGAATCCAGTACTTTATTCTGCTTTTTAAAAAGGGGGGGGGGAAAGCTTATAGTACTCTTTCAATTAAAAACTCATCAACAAGTTAATACACATCTTTAATCTGTTTCACACTGCTGAGGGAGGCAATCTAACAGCAGGCTAACACTTTTCCAAAAGAATTATTTACACTACCCAGACTTTCTGTCAAAAACACTGGATTTTGAAAATGGCTATAATTTAGTACTATGAATATTTTTACATCATTTCAGATATCCAAGGAACACTCCAGACCAGTGTTTCCTAAACTGAGAAAGCAATGAAAATACAACCTCTTCTGAATTAAAACTGAAGGGATGCTTTACCATTAAGCCGAAAGGTTTCCTTTCAGTGCACGTAACAGCGAAAACAACCTAAGCCAACCTGGGGCTCAATGATAAAATCTCTTAAGCACCGAGGAGCCAGCCTGGCTTGGAGAAGCATTTGCACGCCTTCCAAAGGAGCAGGCTGAGTGTTTGAGGCTGCTACTAAATCCTGACCTGCAGGCTGCAGTTGGAAGCTAACACCTTCTCCATGACACGTAGCACCTTTGATCAGCTTCAGGTGACACACCAACTATGGCCGTTCCTCGAAAAGCATGACCTGGTTGCAGTGACCCGTGCTCTGATCATACCTGTTTAGATCTTCATGGGCTCTGCACAGGGTTCCTTTCAAAGCTTCAGAACAGTTTTCGATTAGCTAAAAATGCAGTGGCCAGGCTAGTGCTGGTGACTGCACCACCTCTGTGCTGAAAGATCTGCACTGGCTGCCCACCTGTTTCTAGACACAGCTGGTTCTAAGGCTCTCAACACCTTGGAACCAGGATATTTAAATGACTGCCCCATTCCACACCATCCAGCCTGTCAGCTAAGATTCTAGGCTCAGTTCTCTCTGCTCCCGGCTGCTGAAGTGTGGTGACCAGAAACAGGCTCTCTCTGTGGTGATCTCACTTGTGGAATGCCCTCCCCCCTGGGGGCTTGCCTGGCATCTCCTTTACTACCTGCTTGGTCTTTACATTATATCCCCTGAGCGAGTGCACTCAGTTCTAGAGGCAGCAGTCTTCCATTGTGCCTGCACTGACAAGCCCTCCATCATAACCTTTTACATGGTATAACTGATACTTGGTAGTGTGGGGGGGTTCCCCCTTAAGTCAATTCAGGGAGCTACGTTTGGGCACCTGTCTGCAGTAATTTCTTGCGGTGTTCTAGCAATTCTCCTGCACCATACTGGTGAACTCCGGGAATGCCTTGTGGGAGTTACTGCACTAATAACTGAAACTGGCTGTTAACATAAAGTCTGGTTGAGGGAGCATGAACTGCCAAGAGGGCGGGATAAAAGTTTAACAAACAAATAAATAATAAATAAACAAACCGTGACCAAAAAAAATGCATAAGCAGCTCCAGTGGTTTTTTACTCTAATGTTTAGAACTCTGCCAACACAACTCACTATTCAGGAAAATTAAACTCCAGGTAGTAGTTTTTTGGATTTTTTAATGCCATTGAGTCAACATACTGAATTATAAAAAAACACATACCAGTTCTACATCGGAGGGTACTTTCAATCCCACGGGAGCAATAAAAGGTTCTTCATTTTCTTCTACGTTTTCGATGGCGGTTGCAGCAACTGTAAGAAAGAAGACGAAACGCTGTAATACAGAAACAGCTTGGGAATCTCAGCAGAAACACAAAAACCACACCAGATATCCTAACCTTTTTGTCAGACAAACTTACCTCCTAACTACTTTATGCAATTTTATAAATGTAACTATTATTTTAATGGTTAGCCTCCTTCTACCCAGAAACCTTTCCCCCCAAAAAATATAAGGTAAGCTCTGCTGATTGTATGACAGCAGTTCCAAAATCTTGCAAGGGTTTAATTACAACAGAAATGCCCAAACTGTTTGAGGCCTAAAGCCATGATCTAACCAGAAGGTGCATAAACACAGTAGACAGCCTACTGCATGTACTGTTCCTGAAGGTGGCCTTTACTAATTAAACACTCAATCTGACCACCTGAAACATACAACTTTACAAAAACAGAGAGTGGAAACGACACACCCTTGGATTTCAAAGCAATTAATCCACCACACCAAGCCTGTGCTTTCCACCAGTGCAATTTAGCAGTTCTGATGAGGTGATATGATGGACCCCCGTATCTCCCCAACTGACTGGCAGATTTTTCCCACCAAAGCTTCAGTTCCCCTCAGTGACTGAGCTGCCTTACAGCAGCATGTATATCTTCTGTATTGATATAAACTTGAAACTGTCCCACCCTTTGTTTAGATATTGGTTTAGGCTTTAGACTCAGTACAGGAACTTGAGGGAAAGACAGGAGCTGTCCTGTTTTATAAACCCTTGTGAAATGGCACTTGAGGCAGATTAACGTTCAAACACAGAATGAAGATTTTATTAAACAGGCAGGGAATCTATACATCTAATAGTGAAGGTGCCCCCTTGCGTGCGGATACCTAAATCTGCGCATCAAAAGACAGGAGCTGTCCTGTTTTATAAACCCTTGTGAAATGGCACTTGAGGCAGATTAACTTTCAAACACAGAATGAAGATTTTATTAAACAGGCAGGGAATCTATACATCTAATAGTGAAGGTGCCCCCTTGCGTGCGGATACCTAAATCTGCGCATCCGGGACACCTGGGGGGAGGCAGATTTTCATGCACACTTGGGGCAGTCCCCAGGAGTGCACAAAAATCTGAAAACCTGAAAAAAATATCAGGGGGATACTTAAATCCCCCCAAAAGTAATGCGCAGGGAACGCACTGCGCAGGGAACGCATGCGCACTGCGCAGGGAACGCATGCGCAGGGAACGCACTGCGAACTGCCTCGCCACTGCCACAGGGGACGGGAGGGCAGGATAAGGATTGGCTGGCTT